AAAAAAAAGAGCTAACGGTACTTTCGTGCTTCATATACACATATTTTGTACGATAAGGCTCCTACATATACGACATTCAATTTGTCAGCAAGCGAAATCAGCCAATGGTTTACGTGACAATAGAATTTAACGAACGCGAATTTTACTCTTGGCATCAGTGTCAATAATTTTTGGAAATACTGTACAGTGACCCAAAAAACTGGCCGCATGTTTCCTACTTTTGGCTTTAACATTCTGTAAACAAACCAAACTTGCTTCTATTGCTTTAAAGCTTTGTATGAAGATTGATATAACGCTGTTGTTTGTATATACTAAATATGGTAGTTGCACAAGTGAAACTCAGCTAACAGGCATCGTCTGAATTACGCTTGTACATGCGGCCAGTTGTTTGATCACCTGCTAAAAATAAGATAATCATTTATTTATTTATTTTAGTGCTCGGTCCAGTATCCTTTCGACTTGATAACTGCTTCTACTCTACTTGGCATACTATCAATCACCTTCAAACAATCTTCTTTGGTAATTTTCTTATACCAAGTGTCGGTTATTCGTTCGAACAGCTCATTCATCCCTCTTGGTGCTATATCGTACTTATTCAGTCGTCTCTTAAGCAATACCCACATATACTCGATGGGATTCAGATTTAGAGAGTTAGCTAGCCATTCCAGGACCTTATACTCTTGCTGGCTGAGGTGTTCCTTGACAACTTTCGCCGTGTGCTTAGGATCGTTGTCATGCTGGAAGTACAGCTGGTTGACTTTCAATCCACTTTCCGCTGCTGTATCGTCAATTGTCCTTGCTAGTTCGTCCTGAATAATGTTGAGATACAGTTCCTTATCCATTGTTGTATCTATTTTGCACAACCAACCAGGACCAGCAACTGAAATCGCACTCCAAACCATGATGGAGCCGCCACCATGTTTGACGGTTTGTTTCACTTGCTTCGGTTGCAAGCTGCTACCATCCCTTACCCATGCCCAAGCACGTCCATCCGAGTTGAAACGATTGATTTTCTTCTCGTCCGACCAAATAATCCTTCGCCAGTCTTCAATTGTCCAATGCTGATAACGCTTAGCGAACTGAAGCCTGGCTTTCCGATGTTTAGCGGTTAAGAGCGGCTTGCTAACCTTCTCCACCGCCCCAATTCCCGCTTCTACCAAGGCGTTACGAACAGTTTGGGGATTGACATCAATGTATGCTTCGCTCTTTAACTGTTTTGCAACGGTTACGGCGCTTTCTACGCCTTCTATCATGACCTTGCGAACACAAAGTCACTTGTCAGCATCACTCAGTACAGGAGGACGACCACCTTTGCTGACTTTAAGGCCAGGTAAACGCTCATTTCTAAGCTTATTAATGTAAGTACGTCCTACACCAGTCCGTTTACTAATCGTTCTTGAAGATAAGTTGGTTGAAAGGAGCGACAGGACATCATCCTCTGCAGATTTGGAAATTGCACGCATACTACATTAGACAAGACACTATTAGTATCACAAATCATCCGTCGATTGCACGACTTGCTTGTCTAACATTCTACACATAACCTACATCAAGTAAAACTGGAATATAAAAGCTTCTGTAACTGTAGGAGATTCTGTGATGCCGGAAGTGTTTGAGTAGGGGTAGGTCAAACAACTGGCCGCATGTACAAGTGAAACTCAGACAGCATTCTTTGGCTGAGCTTTGACTGTGGAACCACCATATTTGGTATAAATAATTTCCATTACTAAATTATTGTGTAGTTAAAGTTTCAGAGGGATAAAGCCAAATTTGGATTGACCGCAGGATGTCAAAGTCAAAAATAGCAAACATGCAGCCAGTTTTTTGAGTCACTGTATATCATAATGGACGCACGCCTCTGTTCTTCTTACGCACTGTCGCCCGACTATCTCCCTAGACCCTATCCTTTGGCTACCTATGACCAGGTCTGAGAGAAGTCGATGCATACGTTGGCGTCTTGGTTGGCTTCCTAGTGGTCTGACAAAACCTGTCCTCGGCACCCCAACCAATCCTTCACCAAAGCTCACGCCATTCGTTGTCTCCAGATGCACCGTCGACTTATGATGCCCGAAACAATTTCAGATCCATTATCCTTCCTTTTGAATACGCTACCTTCAAAGAAACTACGCTCCTTTCAAGCCGCTCTCCCATGGACCATTCGTTGGCCAGCTATATGCGCTCTTCTTCATGAACTTGACTACCTCCATCATCAGAAGTGTCCACCTTCTTCGCCCCCACACCTTGGGCAAAAGCTCCTCAATTGGCTCTCTCGTTGTCCTCACTAGTGTATCTTACACTTGCCCCAACATCATTTCTTCAATAACTTTTTTACCCTTGATCTCATAAGGGTTTTTTAGTTACCAATTCTTCATTCTTTTTTGATCTGCTCCGGGCGAAGAAGATATATTATTATCGTGCGCCCACTTGAGGCTTTAATTGTAAATAAAAGACTGTTTAATCGTACATCATAATGGTACACGAGCCGAAGAAGTGGCACTTTAAAGATTTGGAAATAGCATTATCTTCAGATAGTATATGTTTGATGACCTTGGCCAAGATTTTATTCAATCACCTGAGCTTTTTCATGATGTAAAACGGGCATAATGGCAATCTTGAGCTACTGTTCACATTTCTTGTACTTGATATTACTAGCATACAGTTATCCCGAGGAATATTCACTTCAGGCTCTACTTTGTTTGCCCTTAAAAGAGATATATGTTTTCTATAACAGGTATGACGTCTATTCACCTAAAATAGCGTTTTCATTGTGCCTTAATCATTTCTAATAGTTTAGATAATAAAAAACTGTATGACATTATATAAATACCATTATTTTATTCATTGTTTACTTCAGTCTCACTATCCACTTTTTTCTTGCTCTTTTTATTATTGTTAGTTTTGGTTTCTTGTTCTTATATCTAGCAAAACCCCCACTCATGCGTGTTTATAGGGTCCTCTGCCATCAATGTTTTTTTTTGGGTGTATCACAATCGCGTCATTATCAAAACAATTACCAAAGATTGGATTAATCTACCGCAGTTTTCTGCACGCTTGTGTTAGGTAACTGGGCGCCTTCCTTTTGTGTATCTTTTTGTGCAACCGTTTATGTCTAAGCAGTTGAACCAAAAGTAGAATTTCGCTGAGTTTGATCCTTCTTTATCTTGCGATATGCTTCCACTACTCGTTCTTACTCATACCTTTTAAAAGCTTCTCTTTGTCCCTTAACTAAAGTCTATATTAACTATCTTTATTAAAAAGAAAAAGGGAGAGTGGATACAGCTGAGGCGGTTGATATGACAGCTGAGATAGATCAAATAAAAGTATACTTGTCCCTTTTCTTGATCTGGTGCATCAGGGCATATGTCTCACTCAAAAACGACCCATCTTATGTAAATGTGCCTGTTGCTATTTGTGTATATATCCTCAGTATGTGTACTTTTGAAGACTATCTTTATATTTGAAAGCAGAATGTGTGCCGGTAGATGAAAATGAGTATATCTTTCAATGTGTCAAGTTTTGTGGGACAACTTTTGTAAAATCATTAACCGAATTGGTTCCTTATTATTGGTTACACACAACCTAAATTATATCTCATGACTTTTTTGTTGGAAGACAGCTCGGATTATCCGAGTAATGGTGTATCCATAGAGGCAGTGTTGCTAAGGAAGGTAGAGAAAAGAAGCTGCTTGTTATTTGAAAGGTTCAAGCCTTTTGATAAAAATGGAGCACTTCCGGCAGACAGACTCGGTTACGAATAAAAATGTTGTTTGTTTGTCTTGTGCTACATTGAAATTATGCCATTTATTATGTCCCGCTGAATAGTAAGGTTAACATGCAGAACACGCGGGTTAATATATTCTACCAGTAATTTAAAGAAAACATGTACCTGCTAAATTGCATCTGTTAGAAATCAAACCGTCTTAAAAAAGCCGAGGTGCCTACTTCTTACATCGAGATCTACTGTGGGATATTTTAGGTTATTTAACATAGTTTATGCCATTCAAATTTAAGCAGATACATATGTAGCTAAATGACGGACAGACATATTCTCTAGCTGCGACTAAATTGCTTTAATTGCTTCAAAAATGGAAATAGACAGATGAACTCTCTTTTCTTGGCTTATCAAAGTCTAAGACTGTGGCTCTTTTGTTTTAAACGAAGAAGCAGGTATAGATATATATTAGAGTGTGATCAAACAACTACTGCGATGTCACAGTGCTCATAATACTAAGCTACAAGCTGCCTTTCTGAAAGAAATCAAAAGTGGGAGCACAGCAATGCTAATGAACCTTCTTTCCATTCTTTCCTAATTAACTTGTTGATACATATAAATACCTGGAATGTACAGCTCTTGTATTTTTTACTTTTTTTTTACTTTTATCAAAAAGCTGCCGCTTACTCAACCTCTCTTTTAAAATGTTTCCATCAGACAATTGTGTACTAAGTGATAAATCCATACCGTTAAATGGCAAGACAGTTATATGAATATCAATCCTTCTGATCGCTTTTGAAATTCAATAGCAGATAAATCGAGCTATCATAAAAAGAGAGGGCTCAAAGATATTGCTTAAACATTTGCAACTAGTATAAGCTATGCCCAAAGCTATTGTGTACGGCATAAAGGGCCACTGGAACAGAGTCTTTGAGAGTTTACTGTATTGGCTGAAATAAACCACATAAGGTTTGTGAATTGATGCTTTCCCAAAAGATAAAAAAAGCGTGTTGGATTTGGTAGTTTACCGCAGATAAAAGCAAGGGGCTTTTATTCGTCCAAATTCACAGACATTAGACTAATAAGGGCCTCTTGTTGTTCCACCCTCTTATATTCTTAATTAATATCTCTGTACCAATAAAAATAGGCTGATAACACACAACAGAACGTTTCTATAACTCGTTTAATTGGTTCAACTCTTCGGTCTATGACCTCGGACTAATGAAACTACTGAGAGCGGAACTGCTGTATTGCAAAAAGCATATCCCGAATATCTTAAAACAGCTCATTCTCAGATCAACCTGCAATAAAACACAAGCCACGCTATAGTATTAATGCCGCGTTTGTTTCTCAATAAAAGCGAGCTTAAAGTGAAGCACTGAGGATACTTCAAACTTTGGTTTTTTCGCTTTCTCTTCTAGGCTAGCAACTTTAACATGGTAACACTTATCAAATTTGAAGCTTAAAATAGTTCCTCATGAGCCTTATATTGGCATGGAAGATGGGTACATTAAAAGGACGCAGTTGGACCTGAAATCTATGCGGTTCCCCTTCAATAACGAATCCAGTCAAGGCCATCTTGGGGTTTGTCAATACATTGAAACTTTACCATTGAGGTAACATTTTAAATTATGTTCTCACCAAGGTCATTAACCATTTAAAACCCCCTTTTTTGAATTTCCCAAGCAACTGCTTCACCAATAGCCTGTCCCCTGAAAGAATTCTCATCGATTACTCTTCCTATATTCTTGTCTAAACAAATACTGACTGCATAATTTAACATGTCCGATATTTTTCATCAAATGATTAATAAAGAGAGAGAAAAACAGTTGATTATATTTTATCTACAATTCGTTAAGTTTGGTGAAACATACAGTCTGTCCCGCTTCTTTTTTTGGGAACGCTGTAAACTGTAATCTAAATTAGTTTTCATTGTTCTCCCACTCTCTCGTTTCGGTTTTCATAATGAACAAAAAAAAGTGGCGTCGTCGGGTTAGTCTTTTAGGTTAAATAAACAAAATAAGGTCATGCTTTTTGTCGAATATAAAAATATCTGATTTTATAATCAATTTTTTCCCTTCTTTTTCTTTCTTTGAGCCCTTTTTATTTATTTAAAAATGTAAGAATGCAACCCAATTTTATTTATATGACTCATTTTTTTTTTTTTTACTCTTTATAGACAAATGCTACACGTATTAAGTCAACAAGATATCGAGCAAACTAAGAAAAGCCAAGATAAAAGTTGCTTTGATACTCAAGCAACTTTTCAACAAACTTACTTTCTTGGTCAAAATAAGAATAATGATACACTGGATGAAGGATATTACTATGATATGTCCAATTTTGAAATTGCAAATCGTGCATTCTATGCAACTATAAACAAATTTTCAAGGCAAAATTGTCCTGATACTCCATTTGCAAAGAAAAAATCTTCGCCTTATTCATTTTTAGAGAATTGGCATCTACATAGCATCTACAGTAAATCACAGCAAACACTACTGGGTATTCATCCTGTTAAACCCTCGGTTATCCTTTGTGGTGACGATTTTATGTTTACTCCTCCGTTTATACCTCAACAAGAAGAATGGAATGTTGTGGAACCTATAGAAGATGTCATGCTACCTCCTGTGAATCAAAAAGAGTACAGCTCAACCATGGATGGTACACCCAGTTTGTTTTATATGCCCTCGGATCAATCTCAAGAAATAGTCGTGTTTGACAACGATCCATTCGATGTATATACAGAAGACTATTATCATTCATCTACGACGACAGGGGATGATGAATATGAAGATGATGCCATGAACAATGAACAAGTGCTCATTTCCAGTTCTAGTGATAGTAGTAGTATTGTGAGCAGTATCAGTAGCATTACAGAAAGCAATGACGATCATAAGCGTCGATCCTTCTACGGCAATGATGACGATGACGACGAGCTTTCTTCTTATGATCTGATGAACTTGTATGATGCGGCCTTTGATTTTGAAGATACAAATACGGCTAGTGTTATTACCACCCAACCCGTGCCCGTGACTCGATCGTCTTCCTTTTTAAGCCAAAACTCTTTTTTGTCTGCTAAATCTGCAATGTCGTATCAATCACTGGCAGACATTATCGTCACTAACTCAGGCAACTCTTGTTCATCATCGTTTACAAATTATGGCACTGCTGCTACACATCTAAATGAAGGTTCAATAGAGAATCTGGCAGACAGTAGCCTACTGACACGTCTTTATTTATTCATCACCAATTTTTGGAGTCTGATCATGTCTTATATTTACAAGGTTGCAGATGATAGAAGTCCATTGTTACCAAAATAACTTTTTTTCCTTTTACATATACTTGTTATAATGTACATATATACCATGTTTATATACACACTTTTTTTATATTTTACATATTTATTTATTTCTTATTCCCCTTTCTTTCCTCTTCTTGTTTCTATTTCCTAGTTTTAATAAAGTTTAATACTTAGTAGCATTATTCGTCATTTGTGTCCACAGAAAATTTTGTTGCCCCCACGTGGCACATCATTTTAAGGCACGCCTGGGCTGAAGTAAAAAAAAAAAAAGGCTGTATCAAGTTTGGAGGTATGTAAAATATTTTATTAAGTTAGCTTTGTTTAATTTCAAAAACGGACAAAAATGTCAAGTGTAAATGTTGCTGTTGTTAATAAAAACTATCATAATACTTGTAGCGGTCATTGTCGTCGTCGTAGTCTCTTTTGTAATCGTCATAGTCGTAGTCGTAGTCGTACTCAATGTTGCTATCGTTACTATCGTCATTGTAACCATCATCATAGTCGTAGTCATAGCGATCATTGTAACTGTAGCCGTAGTTATAGTCATCGTCGTAGCTATCGCCGTAGTTACTGTTGTAATCATTATAGTCATCATCCTTATATGCAATGTTGTTATCGCTGCTACTGTCATTATAGCCATCATTATCAATATCATCGTAGTAGTCGCCATCATTGTAATAGTTGTTACTGTTATCATAGCTACCGTCGTAGTAGTTGTCACTATCATTGATAATATCATCATAGCCACCATCGTTGTTACTGTCATTATAACCATCATTTTCACCGCCATCGTAATAGTTATTGCTATCACCGTTATTGTCATTATAGCCACCATTTTCGCTATCACCATAATAGTTGTTGTTATCGTTGTTTTCATCATCATAACCACCATCGTAGTAGTTGCTGCTATCGTTGTTATCATTATCATAGCCACCATCATAGTAGTTGTTATTATCGATGCTATTGTCATTATAGCCATCATTATCATTATCGTCGTAGTAGTTGTTGCTATCGTTGTTATTGCCGTTATGGCCATCATCATAGTAGTTGCTACCATCGTTGCTATTGTCATTATAGCCATCATCGTAGTAGTTGTTGCTATCGTTGTTATTATCATCATAGCCATCGTTGTTACCATAGTTAATGCCATAGTTTTCATCATAATCATCATCATTATAGCCATCATAATAATCACTATTATCAGCACCGTCATAATCACTATTGTCATCATTATATTCGTTTTCATTATATGTGTCATTATCGATATCACCACCAATGTCATTATCAGCATCACCGCCAACATTGTCATCAGTAATGTCTTTATCGCTATCATCGGCAACCTTTTCATCATTGTCATCAGCAGCCTTTTCATCATTATCAGCAACCCTTTCATCATTATTAACAGCCTCTTCAACATTATCAGCAACTTCTGTATCATCATCAACAGCCTTTTCATTATTGCTATCAACATTTTTATCAACAGCTTCTTCATCGTCATTCTCTTCTTCTTGATGTTGTTCCTGAGTAGGTTCTTTGACTGGGTCCTTATTGATTTTGTCTTGTCCCTTTTCTGTCTGTCCTTTACCTTTATCTTCGTTTCCTTTCTTTGCTTTTTCAAGCTCTAATCGCTCTTGCCACCTTATCTTCACTGCTTCATCTACTGCAACCTGGCGTGCTAGTTCAGCTTCCATTTCTTTTAATTTTTTCACATCAGCATTAGGGTCCAAAGCCAGCGAATCTTGCTTAAATCCACCGCCAAGGTTATTATTAAGTAGATTTTCAGTGAGAATAGCGTCTCGCTTTGCGAAATTCCTTTCTATCCCTTTGAATTGGAACTTGGTTTGGCCTTCAGATAAAGGTACTACACAATGCGTTTGTATACGTGCATATCACATATATAATTCTATGTTTACCACCAGCAACCAGAGAAGCAAAGATAAAGACTATAATAGACGAAAGCACAAATATTTTCATAATGAACAAGGATAAAACAATAAAGAACAAATAGAATGTTGTGGAATAGAATTCTTTTTATTACCAAATGGAATTTTAGTTTATATGTGAATGGTTTCTTTCCAGAGTGGGTCAGTCAAATAATGAATATTGTCCACGCCAATTCCCTTATTCACTTTTTTACTACATTGTTATATAAAATGTTAGTTTATCATACATTTATAATCATTGTCAAGGACTTACATATCCTCTGTGCTCATCTTGAGTAATCCGACAGCAAGTGCATTCTCTTTGCCTTCTGCCATGATAGCTACAACAGCTCCCACAGGTAAATTCTCATCCATACGTGCACCCTTGGATGTCAATCCTGGACACATGATATTGGCTCCAGATAAAACAAACTTGATAGCTCCACGATCAACCTGTAGCTTTGGGAGGATATCAGGGTCTATGATATAATTAATATATACTCTTTGTTATATTCATACAGGGTGACTTTACACTTGTGTAATAAGGCTAGCGTTGGAAAAAAGGGACCATCGAAATGTTGAAAGAAAAGGATCTCTCCATTGACAGAAAGAAAAGATATATGATCGTGACTAATGACAAGTAAGATAAAATTCTTTCCTTCTTCTCTTTTTTTTTTGTGCGCGTGTATGTTGAGCTTATTATTATTTACCCCTTGATTTGAACAATAGGTGTTTTCTTTGGCATAATATCATCTAGAATAGGTTCAAGCGCAGGATAGTCCTCTGCAAGCTTTGAACGAATGTTTCTTTGAACAGAAGATTTTAATTGCGATTGTCCAGCAATGTTTTCTGAAAAGTTAAATCTGACAAACAATAAGTCTTTTTAGTTCCTTTCTTTTTACTTTTACTTTACTTTTTAAACATTTCTAAATTGTCAAAAAAAAAAGGAAACGAACACAAACTTTTTTGATTTCTTTTTCTTGCTGACTTTGACCAAGTCACAAAACCATCCTGATTCAATGGGTTCTACGAGTTTAGTGCATATAAATGCCATAGTATAAAAGTACTTATAGTTATTACAATGTTGAATTCAATTATTTATATTCAATTGACCTTGGAATAACCCGAGTGTATTAGTAAAATCTAGTCTTATTTTCTCTTATTCAAGTTTCTGTTGACAAGTCTACTTGTATCACGTGTTTCAGCAATAAACCAAGGTTGTGCACTCTTCTTTTTTATAAATAATCTCTCACTTTGTGTTATGGTGTCTAGTTCATTCATCAAAAGGTTTCGAAAGTTAGACGCATATGCAAAGACACTAGACGATTTTAGAGTTCGTACGGCTACAGGAGGAACTGGTACATATGATAAAGTTAGTATGCTGCTAGTTACCCTTTACTTGACAATTACTTTATAGTTACTATCATCTGTGGCATCACCATCCTATTGCTCATGTTGTTTGAAACAGCAAGATACCTAACACCTGTAATGAAACCAGAAATCCTTGTTGATGGTGGAAAGATGGTATAATCATGTATTTATAGAAACAAAACGACTAATGATTCATAAAGGAAAAACTGCCTATTAAATTTGATATCACGTTTCCTCACCTTCCTTGTTACAGTAAGGGCTTTTGCATATATTATACCTTTAAAGCATAGAATCCTTAATAGAGTATTGTAGTGCTTAGTTTGGACATCATGGACGAAAGTGGAGAGCATGTTGCTGATTATGATCATGATGTTTATAAGGAAAGGTTAGATCCCGAGGGCAAGGTTATCCTAACTGAAAAATCAAACGGTAAGAAAATTCAAATATCCATACAGAAAGCCTAATATCAGTGTGTGTTAGATTTAAGCAACAATGCAGCCAAAAAAGCAAGACAACATAGTCCTGAAGTGCCCGACAACTACTGTGGACCTTGTTACGGTGCCAAACCGCAAGAGGAATGCTGTAACTCATGTGAAGAAGTACAACGCGCTTATGCTGATGTAGGCTGGAACACAGACCCAGATAAGTTTGAACAGGTAAACAAAAAAAGGTAAAAAAAGGGGGAAACTGTACATAGTAATGCATTTTGTTACAGTGTATTCGAGAAGGTTGGAAAGAAAAGGCACAGGCTCAAGCAAAGGAAGGCTGTCGAATGCATGGAACTATATCAGTCAACAAGATTCGTGGCAACTTCCATTTCTCTGCTGGTAAAGCATTCAGTCAAGGTGGATCACATATTCATGATATGAGCCAATTCCTGCACAATGATCAAAACCAAAACTTTATGCATTTCATTAAACATTTACAGTTTGGTCAGCACGAATATCATTCAGAAAAGCAAAAGCGAACGAAATCAAGCGAATTGATTCACCCACTTGAGAATACGAAATGGGGATCTGCCAATAGTAAGCACAATATGATGATCAATATACTGTATTTACTTATTTGATTGTAGCCGCAATGATGTATCAATACTTTTTGAAGATTGTACCAACAGAATTCCACTTTTTGAACAAAAAGAGGATCAGAACATTCCAATATTCTGTTAGCAAACAAGATCATGTAGTCAATTATTTTGGAGGACTTCCTGGAGTCTTCTTTATGCTAGATCATTCACCTATGCGAATCATCTACTCAGAAACAAAGATGTCTTTGGCAACTTACTTGACAAACATATGCGCTATCATTGGCGGCATTTTTACCGTAGCCAGCGTTATTGATGGAATTTTATATAGAGCCGAAAGGATGTCAAAACAAAGGAAGAGCATGTAAATAAATTAACCAAAGTGTGACAATGGTCAAATTGTGTGCGATTTTACCCGCAACATTCGGAAGCTAGAAAATAGATAGGTTAGAATCCTTTTTGATCCGAAAAAAAAAGGGGGAAGTGGATAAAGGAAAGACAGAGGGAGGCCTATACTCTCTATTGAATGAGTATAGTAACAGGCCTTTTCCATCATGTTTTCTCATTGTATTTATCAAGAATGATGTTGATCTTTGTGGGGTAATTGAATGTCAGAATTGCATAGTTGAAAGAATATATACTATTTTCAGAAAGAGATGTCGCACTGACTTGTCGCTTTTTCGTATAAATTATACAAATTGAAAAAATGCGCTTTACTTTCTGAAAAGACTGTAATTCGAGCCCTGTATGAGCTGAACAACTTGTATGATTTGAACACCGGTCGTTAAAGCGTAAATGGGATATTGAGTCTGGTTTCATTAAGCTTTGAATTAAATGAATATGGATAAAGATCAATTCATATATTAATTCGTTGTAACAACTGTTTATAATTATAAAATATCTTATATATATTAAGCATAGACATTCACTCTTCACTTAATGGAAGACAATACCATTCGATAGTTATAGTGCCCTTGTGCTCTCCCGCAACAAGCAATATCATCAATGACGTATTGGTGAGAGTACTTTATGAACTTAAATTTTGATCTCGACAAGTTTGCCTAATAGCTCTTTCCAATATCGCTGGAATCAAGGTTATATTTTTAGAATACGCGTCTTTCGTCCCTTCCAAAAGAAGGGGAGCCGATATTACCCATTACTTGAAGAAGGACGCAGTGGCAGTTTTATTATGTGCCCCTTTTCAACAGGAAGCCTTTGAATGACCGAATAGTCTCCTCCGGACCGGATGAGACGAAAAGGGAACACACCATCGGAGAAACACGCCTGAAGCGCTTTGTGTCATGTGAAAGTTCCCTTCATATATCATCATCATCGACACACAGAAACTATTTAAATTCTACAGTTATTTTTTCTTTTCTTCTTCTTTTCTTTACAAACATTTTTTTTCTCGAATTTAAACATGTCTGTTACCAAAGTTCACGCTCGTCAAATCTTTGATTCCCGCGGTAACCCTACTGTTGAAGTTGAAGTCACTACTGCAAAGGGAACTTTCCGTGCTGACGTTCCTTCTGGTGCCTCTACTGGTATCCATGAAGCACTTGAACTTCGTGATAAGGTGAAGACTGAATATTGTGGAAAAGGTAAATCAATAAACACGCGTACAACAAACGCCCTGCACAGTACGCGATGTATACTAACATGGTACATAGGTGTTTTGAAGGCTGTTGAAAACGTCAACAAGACTATTGGCCCTGCTCTTGTCGAGTCTGGATTGAGTGTTGTCGATCAAAAGGCAATTGATCAATTCCTTCTTGATTTAGATGGTACACCAAACAAGAGCAAACTCGGTGCTAATGCTATTTTGGGTGTCTCCCTTGCTGTTGCCAAAGCTGGCGCTGCTGAAAAGGAAGTGCCTCTGTATGTTCACTTTGCTGACTTGGCTGGTTCCAAGAAGCCATTCGTCTTGCCCGTTCCTTCATTCAATGTCATTAACGGTGGTTCCCACGCTGGTAACAAATTGGCTATGCAAGAATTCATGATCATGCCCACGGGTGCTTCCTCATTTGCTGAAGCCATGAAGATTGGTACCGAAGTCTATCACACATTAAAGAGCGTTATCAAGGAAAAGTATGGTCAAGATGCTACCAACGTTGGTGATGAAGGTGGATTTGCTCCCAACATTCAAGATAATGCTGAAGGCCTCGAATTATTGGTAACTGCCATCGAAAAGGCTGGTTATACAGGCAAGGTCAAGATTGCCATGGACTGTGCTGCCAGTGAGTTCTATGTTGATGGCAAGTACGATCTGGACTTCAAGAACCCAAACTCTAACCCTGACGACCGTATCACTGGTCAGCAACTTTCTGAGCTTTACAAGTCCTTTGCTGAAAAATACCCAAGTAAGTTTGAAGTTGAAAAAAAGGATAAGCGCTGACATTGAATATTTTCTCTCTCTTGATAGTCGTTTCTATTGAAGATGCTTTCGAACAAGATGACTGGGAAAACTGGACTCACCTCTTGGAAACCTCAGACTTCCAATTGGTTGGCGATGATTTGACTGTTACCAATCCTAAGCGTATTGCTACTGCTATTGAAAAGAAGGCCTGTAATGCTCTTTTGTTGAAGGTAAATCAAATCGGTACAGTGACTGAATCTATCCAAGCCGCCTTGGACTCACAAAAGGCTGGTTGGGGTGTCATGGTCTCCCACCGTTCTGGTGAGACTGAAGATACCACAATCGCTGATCTTGTCGTTGGTCTTCGTACTGGTCAAATCAAGACTGGTGCTCCTTGCAGAAGTGAGCGTTTAGCTAAGCTTAACCAATTGCTTCGTATTGAAGAACAATTGGGTTCTAATGCTATCTATGCTGGCGAGAACTTCCGTAAGGCTCACGAATTGTAATTATTTATGATATCCTCTTTCTCCACCCTTTTTGCATGTTTATGATATCTATGTAGCAGTGAAAAGTGATTATTCTTACTTTTGTCATAAATGAATACCAAAGTAATAAACGCATTCTACTTGAATGATTCCAAAACAGACTTGCTTGAAATAGCTTTTCTGCTAGAGCATAAACTTTATTGAATATTTTATCATCCACATAATCTAATGATAGTGAAACGCTACGATAATTATATCTGCCCTTTTCTGAGCGAATACATATACGACGATATATATGATTACAAACGTGTAGTTTGGACGAATTTCATTTGCTATGTCGCCCATATCAAATGATTTATTGCACCTAAACACCTCGTCCTCCTGTTTAGTACTTTTATTACTGCTCTGCATCATCTGCTTACTTACACATGAGGAACAGTTTCTGGCCTATGTAGTCCAGATATTGCTGACGACATTGGATGAGTGTAAGAGGCTCTCAAGTGTCCTTCTGATACCAAAAATACATCACTTTCTAGTTGTAATAATGCCATATATTTACCGTTAATGATCATCAATTTCATAATTGCAAACTGTTTTACATTTCTTGTTGCATCCATCAGGTTAGTTCCTGTTTTGTAGTCTCTGATAATGAACATGAGCTTTTCCAACTATACGTATGAAGCTTCAGATTCTTGGCTAGATCCCGCTGTATAAACCTCACATGGGGTAATGATTTTCCAATAGATGGGCTATCGCTGCAATCTCCTCAAATCAGTGCAGCTATTCATGACAGAGGAATAGTGTAGGCACTTACCTTAATGGATGTGTTACAACAGTTTCTCCATCTTGACAAGAGGGAATTGTGATGTTTACCTTTTCAAAGAAGCCCTTAGGTAAATTATAAAACAGTGAAGAGTTAATCTTTAACAATTACAAAATTGAAAGAAGGATTAATGTTTATGAAGAAGTCTTGGATTGCACTGTCTGACAACAAACTGAAAATATCTGGCATTATCTTATCTGCTGAGGTTTAATTGATAGAGAGACAGTAGAATTTTATACGACCAGAAACTATGAAATTCAATGCCTTTTTTTCAATTCTAATAATTGACAACAATAATTTCAGCATGATCGTCTCGCGTATGGAGACCCTCCACCACCCTTAGAGGTTTGCACATCCACTGGACTATACCGCGACTAGTAGATGAAGGAGTAATATAGGGGCCAAGAGGAGGCAGGATAGGTGACTGGTCACGGTCGTGATCTCAGCCACATCATGCAACAGATGGCCCAAATTATGGCTTCTGATTTATTCAAAGCTAATCAAGCGGTCCTTTGGAATGTTCGCGAACGAAGAGATGCATTAAACAATATGACAACCCATTGATTGATTGACATTATTCGCTTTTTTTTAAAACCCGAGTTTGCTTAACTTACCTAATTACTTGGCCTGCGCATTCATAATTTAAACATCTCCATACTGTGTGATCTAAAGTAAAATAAATAAATATTACCTGTCTGTTTTTTTATCGCTTCAGTATTAGGTTTAGTGAGACCGGTGATGACCGTTACATGGGCTCTTTGCTTCGACCTTTATCCCAGCACTTGCAAGAATGCGAAACGAACCCTTTGAAATGGGTTTTATCTACACTTTTACAGGCTTCTGTTATTCTTTTTGACAAAGTATCTTCCTGTAAGAACCTATGACACTTCATCTTACTTTTTGCCACTGCCCAAAGTTGTTCTATCGGATTTAGTTCAGGAGTGTAAGTAGGAAGGTACACGCATTTGTATCCTCGATATTCAATATACTTCTTTATGTTTTCATGCGTATGAATGGGCGCATTATTCATAACTATATAATGCCCTTTCATATGAGGATACTTATCCATTTCATCGGGAGTCATTTTCAAGAAACTAATATAGTGGCCAGTTACAGTCCCCGAGTTTACATATACTTCAGTCTTTCTCTTCTTAGCAGGTCCTGGCTTTTTTGCGCCAACTGCGATCAAACCTGCAGCTGAGATTGCACCCAATATCGACGTTGTATTTGCTCTCGCAGTAGGCCTGGTAACAATAGTACGAGAACCTTTTTTGGGCCAAGCTCTTGAACGTTTCATATTTATATCAAAAGCAGTCTCGTCAAGAAACACGCAGTTCGTCAGAAAGTTCATGTCCGTATTTTCCCATTTACAAACCCAATTGTATCGCTCCTGAATCTTCGTTGGACTGTTTCTCTCAATAGAATGAAAATCAGCTTTTTTCAACGAAAGGTTGCACTCACGTCTCATAAAGTTATTAACAGCGCTGCGGGATACTTTAAGATCATGAGATCGCTTCAGTAAATGTTCGGTCACTTCAACAGCAGAAGCAAAGGGATTAGCATCGATGAAGTTGATAACAGTGGTTTTATGCTCTTCAGTTAAGATGCACTTACGACCTGCTTTTTTACAGATTTCAAAAATACTGTCAGGGCACGCATTATATTGGCTAATCCATCTATAAGCTGTTCGAGGGTGAATGCCCAACTGCTTTGCTGCAGCTGATGTAGTCATACACTTTTCAATCTTCAGATCGAAAAACCTAGCTTTATCCTGGACCGTATAACGCACATATTTTCGTTTTGGTTTTGCCTCCCTCATGTGAATATCTTCATTTTTTGGCTTTTCTAACAACATTGGGGACTGCATTTCCCAAGTACTCCGTATGAGTAGCAATAGTCTCAACAATAAACTCATTCTGATCAGCTATATAATCCATGGGCTCAGGACCACCATTCTCATCAATAACATTCCCATGCCCATCTTCATATAGAAATATTGTATCCATGTTGAATTGTAAAGTATTGAAAAAAAAAAGTACTACAAGAAAAAAAATACTTACTCTCTATCTATAGTTTTCTTTGGTGTCAAGAATCACGACATGATTTCTAAGCAAGCGACGAGTGATTTCATTTCTAAAAATATGAAATTAACTTTGATTGGCTGTGACATTACTTGCTGTAAGCACTGTACAGTCTTTTCAGAAAGTAAAGTCGCATTTTTGCAGTTTTTATAATACAATTTATACGAAAAAGCGACAAGTCAGCGCGACATCTCTTTCCGGAAATTGTGTACATTGTGACTTAGAAAGCGTTCCTGAGTTAAAAAAATTCCTTGGCTGCATGAATTATTTTAAGGAGGTGATATTAAGGAGAACATCAGTCTTCATTCCTCATTGGTTGACTCTGTAGTGGGCCTGAGTTAAAACTAGGGAAAAAGAATCATATGTCGATGAGACTATTGAACTTCTTTATTGGTGAGGATCTCACTAAAATAAAATAAGGCTTTTGCGTGTTTGATATGAATCATTACAATACTCTATACAGTAGAGCATACATTCTACTTTACATTCCTCTATCTCATCTGATGAGAACAAGAGCACTGACAACACTGACAAATAATCATACTGACGACATTAATGCAAATAGCAGTCATAGATTCTCTCCCTTTATAAAGCACACACGCGTCTTATTTTAATATTACTCCTTACTTCTTTTCAACAAAGAATCTAGTTCGCAAGTTGTTGACTTAATAGTGTTTTTAAAGCTACAACTAGCTGAATACAACAAACATAGCAGATGTGGCTAAATGATTTCGCGAAGAAATTATTCATGGTGCACAAATAAGAAAGCATTTATCAGGCTGTCGTGTTTTGTAGGTTATCCTGTTATTATAATTCTTTTTTTGTTAATAATTTTACTAATTTGATCAATAGATCCATGTCATTCATACTTTTTTTCTGTCTCTCAAGCAAGTCTATTATCTAAGGTGACTTCAGACCAGAAAATTGCTGTAATCAACAATCTGCATGTGAAAAAACACCTGAATCCCTTGGGTGAAAATGCGTTCAAAACCTGTTATAAAGTAAACAGAATATTACACAATTGCGATATAAACGAAGATGAAGCAAACAACAAACTGTATGGATTAAGAAGTTCGGCCAGTAACCAAAGAGAAAAGGTGGCAACAACGACCGCAGTATCTCTTGTTGGTAGATTTTTTTAGCCATACATCCCAGAAAGAAAGCGAATCGAAATTGATCATCGAGATACTACACCTATTCATCAACAGCTGTATCATTACACCAACAAAAGATACAAAATGCGAATGGTGTGTGCTATTAAACAATAAATTATTAAAACACTTCGTTTTAAGGATGACGTATCGGCTTGTCCCAATCGTAAGTATTTACACGATTATGATCTCTGGCTTTGTCCTATGGATGGAGCCACACTCTGAGACAAGCTTCAAAATGTTTTTTGTAAAGGTGAAAAGGCAAGGAAACCCCTCCAATGGCCACTTGGAAAGTGATTTGGTGAAACTTGGCAAAGAGATACAGCTTGGGTTAAACAAGCTGGTCAAAAGAAAAGTGGCATATCCAAAAGTCGCTGGATTATTGCTGGAAGGTAGCTTATTTTATTTTTATTTTTTGATATATTGAACTACTGCTAACACTAATCGAATAGGAAATCGAGCGACAGCATATAAAATGGACTTGCTGTATAATGGTCAATAGAGAATGGTGGAATTAAGCAAGTTTTATTTGACTAGAGATAATGTGGATGATGCCTTGCTTACTCCCACCATTCTGGAGAAACTATACCAACTTCAGGTAAATAGTAGTTATTTCAACATGTATAAAGTAGTATTTTTATTTTAACATAATTTAATAAGGCTATAGTCCAGAAGACCATAAATAACTTGTACCAAGTTATCCAAGAACCAGGTGATTCAGCAAACATGAGATAAATGTATGATAGTCCCGTCGCAGTTAAAGACGAAAAATAAAAGCATTTTTATATTAATCATAGTATTTTGACCTGTTCAATTCAAATGACTATTGTATGTCGTGTCAAACACAATCATAGTTGGTTCCAGTTTGACCTCCACGCTTTATTTTCCATATATTTATAAATAAATAAACCTCTTCTTCTTTGGATCCAGTCCTTTGGTTGCCTATATCAAGGCTAGAAAGAAACCGCTGTGTATGTTGACATCTTGGTTGTTTGTCCAGTTATAAAGCTGCTCATTGTCCTCGACACACATCCGCAATTCTTTACAAAACAGCATACTATCTGCTGTTTCGATACGCATCACGTTTAAATAAAAAAATCCTCACTACATTGTATCTCTGCAATCTTTCCTTTCTTGGATGAATCTGTTGAGAAATAAAAGACTGTGCCACATGATTTTCTGTTGTTTCTTTTTATATAAAAGAAATAGATAGACAGAGATTGATGCCGTCCGAATCATACTTTGATGAGGAATCTGTCTCTGATTCTCAACGATTACTTTCTACATACTCGCAATCAACTGAGGACTATGAAACTGACGAAAAGTATTTAGTAAAGGAGAAAAGTTTACGAAAAAAGGTACGATGGAGAGACTATTATGTAAATAGATATAAACAAGGGGATAGAACTTTAATTGGACCTGTCTTGGATTTCTATTGATATTGGTTATTGTTGTCTTATTATGGGTTACATCCATCACACAGCTATTGGTAGAATGTATGTAGTGTATTCTCAGTTCTTTTTAATTGAAACTTTATAATATAGTCAGTACATCTGTGAATACTGAGGACATACCAAAAACGGATTCAAAGCGTTTAGAATTTGATGATGTCTTCAACTCTTCCTTCACAGTTAAAAGAGCAAGTTTAGTCTGGGTTGAGAATGGTAAAGTGTGTGTGTGTGTGACATAGTAGATATTCATTCATTGCTATATTAGATCCTAGAGACGGAATTTATACTTTTAGAGATCCAGTTTCTAATGATATCTTGATTGAATCTATTGAAGATAGAAAAAGTGAAGTCTTTGTAGAAGCCAAGGACCTTGTAAAGATTGATCGTTTATACACACTATTTATTAATTGAAAATATTTACATAGAGAATCAAAGATCGTCTTCTTGATGTTCACTCCTTTGACCTATCACATGACTCTAAATACCTTTTATTGAGAACAAATGTTACTAAAGTAAGGTTTATACAACTTGTTACATACACACTCAAATTTCTTCTTTTAGCAATGGAGACACTCATATTTATCCAGCATATACATTTACCGCAGATCAGATAAAGCACTCTTCCCTCTAACCAATACCTCCACTGTAGACACTGAACCAAAAATTGCTTATGCTGCATGGAGTCCTACTGGCCACAAAGTTGCTTATGTCATGAATAATGATATTTATGTCACAGATTTGAAGAGTCATTATAGAATCACATTCGACGGTTCAAAGACTGTGTTTAATGGTGTACCTGATTGGGTCTATGAAGGTATAATTGACTCTGTTGCGGCTAAACGTTCTTTTCTAATGATCTATTTAGAGGAAGTATTTGCTACAAATTTTGCTCTTTGGTGGTCTCCAGATTCTACACATATTGCCTTTTTAAAATTAGACGAGACAGAGGTGCCTGAATATCATCTGCAGCTATATACAGCGTCCGGATCAAGTTACCCCAAAGAGACAAATATCAAGTATCCAAAAGCAGGATCACCCAATCCAATTGTTTCCCTACATGTTCATTCTTTTTTAACAAACACAACAGTTGATGTTACAACTAGTAGTGAAGACAACACCATCCTACATGCAAATCAATATAAAGACTTTGCTAAAAACGATCGCTTGATTGTTGATGTTGCTTGGTGTACCTCGGCACATAGCCATTTGCTGTTTAAACAAACAAATAGAGTACAGGATCACCAGTTCACTAACCTTGCTGTGCTTGACCCTTTGGACATTGGAAACTCTACAGTGCACAAGATCCAAGAATACAAGCCAAAGGATAAAGGATGGATCGATATCGCTCAATCTATGGTCTACTTGCCATCTAACAAGAGCGATCGTGTACAGTTTCTTGATATTGCTGATAATGAGGAAGGCTTCCCTCATTTGGCTATAGTGACTGTTAAAGATAATGGTCATACTCAAGTCTCTTGGTTGACTTCTGGAGAATGGGAAGTTGTCTCTGGAACTGTTGAAGTAGACCCAGTGCGTCAACTTGTGTAAGTTTCTCAATGACCATTATATATTTTACTTATTACTCTTTGTAGACACTTTATTTCAACTGAGAGATCACCCTATGAACGTCATTTGTACAGTATTTCATTGAAAGAAGAATACCCCGCTTCGTCCAAAGTATGTATCACATGTCCTAATAGCCCTGACGAGCACGCATACTATTCAGTTTCATTCTCTCCCAAATCTGGCTATTATATCTTGAATTATGAAGGTCCTGGTATTCCAAATACGGTTGTTAAGAAAGTCAACGATACCTCTTTCAAGGCAGTACTAGAAGATAACCTTGATTTACGATTACTTTTACGAGATTACGATCTTCCCAAGATGCATATGAAAACTATTACAAGTGATGATGTCGGTAAGTAGTCTAAAGTATACTTGTCGTGATTCACTGATTAATCTATTAAAATATAATAGAAATGACTGCGATGGAAGTTGTTCCTCCTGATTTTGATGCAAGCAAAAAGTACCCAGTATTGTTCCATGTTTATGGTGGCCCTGGTTCGCAGCTTGTTTCATACAAGTTTGAACTAAGCTGGCAAACGTTTGTCGCTAGTCAATTAGGATTCGTTGTTGTTACTGTAGACGGAAGAGGTACGGGATTTAGAGGCAGAGATTACAGAGTTGGTGTCAGAGGAAGACTAGGAGAGCTTGAGGTGATCGATCAAGTCAATGCTGGAAGACACTGGGCAAGTTTGGATTACGTTGATGAGTATCGTATGGCTATTTGGGGATGGTCCTACGGCGGTTATATGACCACCAGAGTCCTTGAAGCGAACAGTGGTGTGTTCTCCACCGGTATGGCTGTAGCTCCGGTTACTGATTGGAGATTCTATGATTCTGTATACACTGAACGTTATATGTTGACTCCAAAATTGAATCCTCAAGGCTATAATCGTAGCGCAGTGAATAACATGGCAGGATTTAAAAATGCCAAGTATCTTCTCGTACATGGAACAGGGGATGATAATGGTAAGTCAATAGCAGGTTTATTAGACAGTTACTCATTATTGTTATCATATAGTTCATTTCCAACATAGTGCAACATTAGTTGATAAACTGACATTAGCAGATATTCACAACTACCGTGTTCACTTCTTTACAGACAGTGATCATGCGATCAATTACCACAATGCCAATAGAAATGTGTATTATATACTGACTGAATTTTTATTGGAGAGGTACATAATATACATGTAATTCATGAACAGTCTTATTTACTTGACTAGTTTTGGTGGACATCAATATAAGCACATTTACAGTGAAGCAAACGGCAAGTTTTCAGGCCCTTTACCAGAAGAACATTAAATAAAATATCTAAACTTTTGTTTCTCCCCCTCGATCTGTATTTCAAATCCTCATTTTACACATCAAAAATTGAGACTGCTTTCTCCTAAACAAAAAAAAAGAAAAAAAAAAAGATCTTGCAAAATTAGTGTTTGTCTTTAAAATGTTTGACGAAGAGTCCTTATTCAACGTCTTTAGTGGTGAGACTACAGATAACTTTGATGATGTTAAAGACGATGAAATTCTTGACGATGTTGAAGAAGAGATTCAACCAGCCACTAAACGACGCAACGAAGACGATACATTGAATGATCAAGATGGCAAAAAATTAAAAGTAGAAAACAAAGAGCTTCAAAAGTTTAGAGAAGACGTGGCTCAACAACCCACACCTATTGTGGCTGATACATTTGAGCAAGAAACATCCAGACAAGTTGCAAATATCGCAGGTCTTCAAGGACAGCCCACTGTTGCTGAAGGTGAGCAGATTGTATTGAGTCACCAAGTTAGACATCAAGTCGCGGTTCCTCCAAACTATCCCTATGTTCCCATCTCACAGCACGTGCCACCTGTTGATCCTGCTCGTACGTACCCATTTACCCTAGATCCTTTCCAGCGTGTTGCAGTGTCATCTATTGAACGAAATGAATCTGTATTGGTTTCAGCACATACTTCTGCGGGTAAAACAGTCGTGGCAGAATATGCTATTGCTCAATGCTTAAAAAACAAGCAACGTGTTATTTATACTTCTCCTATCAAGGTACTGATGAACAAGGCATGTAATAACCGCAGTAAAAAAAACTGACAATGTCATAGGCACTTTCCAATCAGAAATATCGTGAATTTACAGAAGAATTTGGTGATGTAGGCTTGATGACGGGTGATGTTACCATCAATCCACATGCATCTTGTCTTGTTATGACAACTGAAATTTTAAGATCTATGTTATACCGTGGTTCTGAAATTATTCGTGAAGTCGCATGGGTTGTTTATGATGAAATTCACTATATGAGAGATTCAGGTAAGCAGTTACTGTATACTTTTATAAAAGCAACAGTTTTTTTGACTTCTTTACATAGAACGTGGTGTTGTTTGGGAAGAATCGATCATTTTGCTACCTGACGCAGTTAGATACGTTTTCTTATCTGCTACAATTCCTAATGCTATGGAATTTGCAGAATGGATTTGTAAGATACACCAACAGCCATGTCACATTGTCTATACCGATTTCCGACCTACTCCTCTTCAACACTATTTATTCCCTGCCGGTGGTGATGGTATTCATTTAGTTGTAGATGAAAAAAGTAGATTTAGAGAAGACAACTTCCAGAGAGCCATTGCTGCTCTAAGCGATGCAAGAGGAGATGATCCCAGTGGACCAAATAGCCGTGGAAAGAAAGGAAAGACATATAAGGGCGGAAATAGTAACGATGGTCCACCAGATATTTATCGTATTATAAAAATGATCATGATGAAGAACTATCATCCTGTGATCGTGTTTAGTTTTTCCAAAAGAGAATGTGAAGCAAATGCACTTGTCATGTCAAAGCTGGACTTTAATGACGATAGCGAACGAGACATGGTAAACCAAGTATTCACAAACGCCATCTCTGGATTAAACGAGGATGATCGCCAACTTCCACAAATTCAGCAATTACTTCCACTTTTACGACGTGGTATCGGTGTCCATCACGGTGGTCTCTTACCCATTATGAAGGAAACGATCGAAGTTCTCTTCCAAGAAGGCCTTTTGAAAGTCCTGTTTGCTACTGAAACATTCTCTATTGGTTTGAACATGCCTGCTAAAACTGTCGTATTCACTAGTGTTCGTAAATATGATGGCAAGTCTACTCGATGGGTAACGTCAGGTGAATATATCCAAATGTCTGGTCGTGCTGGTCGTCGTGGTCTTGATGAACGTGGTGTTGTTATTATGATGATTGACGAAAAGATGGAACCTGCGGTAGCAAAGGGCATGGTTAAAGGTGAATCTGATCGTATGAATTCAGCCTTCCATTTGAGTTATAATATGATCTTGAATTTGCTTCGTGTTGAAGGCGTCAGCCCTGAATACATGTTAGAAAAGTGTTTTTACACCTTTCAAAATGATGCAAATATTCCTCAATTCGAAAATCAAATGAAGCAATTAGTAGCTGAAAAGGACAGTATACAGATTGAAGGCGAAGAAGAAATATCGACCTATTATGAACTTCGAAAACAGATTGATACTTATACTCAAGACGTGCGTGACGTTATGCTTCATCCCACTTATTCTTTACCATTTATGCAACCTGGGCGCTTAGTACGTGTAGAATATGAAAAGATGGACTTTGGCTGGGGCGCTGTTTTGAACTGTCAAAAGCTCAACAGCCGAAAGAGGGCATCCGATCAAGATAGTGAACCCAACTATGTAGTTGACATATTATTAAACTGCTCTAAAGACAGTAGTCTTACAAAGGATGCAGCTGGTCAACCTACAGGTATCAAACCCGCCACGAATGATGATGAACGTAATCCACTGGTTATTCCAGTCAGCTTGCGTACTATTCAAAGTATCAGTCATATTCGACTTGTTCTTCCAAAAGATTTACGAAGCTCAGATACACGCAAAGCAGCATACAAGTCCATTATGGAAGTAAAAAAGAGATTCCATGGAAATATTCCGTTATTAGACCCCATAAATAACATGGGCATCAAAGATCCTTCATTCCAAAAACTGGTCAACAAGATTCTCAACTTGGAAAAGAGAGTGATGGATCATCCATTGACTAAATCACCCGACTTGCCAGTTTTATATGAGACATACACAAAAAAGATGGAAATTACTGAAAAGATTAAAGATTTGAAGAGAAAGCTCGTTGAAGCTCAATCTATAGTACAGTTGGAAGAACTTAAGAATAGAAAACGTGTGCTGAGAAGGTATGTATTCTTTAAACATTCTAAAACAGCTAGCTGACATTTCCTTTTAGACTAGGCTTTACTACTTCATCAGACGTTGTGGAAATGAAGGGCCGTGTTGCCTGTGAGATTAGCTCAGGTGATGAATTGTTATTGACAGAAATGATTTTCCAAGGTGTCTTTAATGATCTTACAGTGGATCAATCAGTTGCCGTTTTAAGTTGCTTTGTATTTGATGAAAAAGTGGATGCGAAAGCAAAATTACAAGAAGAACTATCTGCACCTCTTCGATTAATGCAAGAAACAGCGCGTAGGATAGCCAAGGTTGCTAATGAGTGTAAAATGAATCTTGATGAAGAAGAATATGTCGGAAAGTTTAAACCAGAACTGATGGATGTTGTGTTTGCTTGGTGTCAAGGAGCAAAATTCTCGCAGATCTGTAAGATGACGACTGTATATGAAGGCTCCCTTATTCGTGTGTTTAGACGACTAGAAGAGCTTTTAAGGCAAATGTGTGCAGCAGCCAAGAGTATTGGAAATAGTGAATTGGAAAATAAGTTTTCAGAGGGTATCAATAGAATTCACAGAGACATCATTTTCGCAGCATCGCTTTATTTGTAAAAGATATATATTATGCATTACATTCAATAAACTATGGAAATCCTTTCACCATATCATCTTGTAACTGTGTGAGTTGTTCAAGTAATTGCTCATCGTTCAAGTCTGCCTGGTCTAATTGAAGCATCTTGTCTGCAAACTAGTCAAAGTTATTAAATGTACTTTATTGCTTTATTGTCTTTTTTTTTTACCCATAACAATTTTCGTTCTTTACTGATTTCCTTTGCCCTTTCGTTAGTATAAGCAGTCTGCTTATTCTTTTTCAACTAGAGAAGATTCAGTCATACAAAAGTATATGATACTTCTTTTTTTTTTTATACCTCTTTGACTATTTGATACGCAGCTAATAAGAGATTTTTAGGAAAACCAAGCAATTGAGCCGTTTGAAGACCTATTGAATTGATATTAAAAAAGTTCTTGTATACTATTAAATGAATCAAACCATAATTTTGTTCAGTCGACAAATGTCCATCCTCTATTTTATACTGATAATCAACTATACAATCTCGATCATCCATCTTTAAATTGTATAAATAAGTCCCACAAAAAAAAATAACTTGTTGCATTTACCCTAACATCTACTTTAAACCGCAAGTTGACTACATTGGGATATATAACCAACGTTCGTGTCAGCTCATGAAGATGAGTTGCAAAAAAGCAAAACGCCTACAAAGACAAGGAAAAGCAAGAGACATTCTTATTTAGTAAAGTTCTACTTACCTTTGTCCTGGCAAGTTCTTCACACACAGCCGCTGCGATCCCAACAGCATTATTGGGAGAAGTGCTGCGACAAAGTTCATCGATGATCACAACACTTGAGTTTGTCACATGTTGTAGCAAATAGGCCGTTTCCTTCATTTCTGTCATAAAAGAAGATGTGTTGGTATCCGAAAGGATATTGTCATTTGCTAATCTCGACAATAGCTTGTTTAATGTTAGTCTACTATCAAATCTCTTGTGGCATAGTAAACTCTACCTGATCACATAATCTAAAAGATGCATATTCTGCAGGAACACTAGTATAGTAATGGGTTCAAAGTGGAGCAAAAAAAGAGGGAATGATGCTTACAATGAGCCAATATGAGCCATCACGTTGAGTAAAGCCACTTGTCGTAAATAGGTTGATTTACCGCTCATGTTGGGTCCTGTAATAAATTGGAAGCTGCTTGATAATGAAGCAAAGGTATCGTTTGGTACTAGTGGAAATGTTAAAATATGATCAAGAACAGGATGTCGACCCGACTTTATAGCCAAGACACCAGAAAACGTTGGACGAACTAATATTTGGCATTAGATACTAAAGCTACAACCTTATCACTTACCGTAGCCATATGAAAGCTTGCATGAAGCCAATGAGGCAAGCATGTCCAAGAGAGCAATAGCTTCTGATGCTTTATACAGTATGTTGATATTATCTCTGAATACTTGCAACAAATTAGATACAACTCTTTTGATTAAATAGAAAGTTAGTACAAGTACCTGTAAATAAGAAGAAAAAAATACATACTTATCAGACATCAGGTACACTTCCATAAGGGATTCATTTATTCTACTATTTGCTTGAAGCTAGAGAATAAAGACCGTTAACATATTTTACTCTAGCGATATGTTGTATTACTATTTCCAATGTCGTAAAATGAAGCATTTTTCTTTTGGTGACAACATTAATAAATTTATCAGGCAGCGTATTTCCATCAGAAAGTTCACTCGTTGGCATTTGAATAAAGAACCCGCTTGAGGAACTGAACTGAAGCTTCATTTTCAGTCCAGTTGTTTCTAAAAAAATACTTAGTATAAGCCATATATTCAAAGAAACAGCTTACCCGAGTATTCAGATACAAGCTCATATGTGTCTTCGATTGCTTCTTTATAGGCTTGTCTGGCTACTATTTATTTTAGTAATAAAATCTAATGTGTTTAACCAAATTGAACTTGCCAACATCAAGCAAACCATTAACTCCAGCCTACAAAATTATTAGATAAAAACACGCATTATCCATGGTTGCCTTCCAACCTTTACGGCATAGCATTTTTGATTTCTTAGCCCAAGCCCCGTTTTTTCTATTCCAACGTCTTCATTGATAACACTATTAATTATCTCCTCGAGCTCAGCTATATATAAAGCAAGATAAATACATAAATTACTTTTTGTACTTGCTTGTCTTACCGAAAATAGGCTCAGATAAAATCTGCATAAAATAAATCAACAAGCAAATACTATGCAAGATTGCATCACCTTACCTTATATATTGCTTTTGACAAGATACAGCTCTCAACAGGGTTAGAATGACATGGCAGCTGAAAAGCAATATTCTGTATAGACTTGATTGATTGCTTCAGACAAATCACTTGATTGATTTTTGATTCAGAATGATGGACAGCCAACATTTGTCGACCAACTGTTTTATGATTGGCGTTGGGTAATTTGACAATGAATGATATTATATAATCCAGGTCACTCAAGGGCCTCAAAGAAGACTGAATGTTAAATAAACACTCTTCACTTGCTGATAATTCCTGTATGGCATCTAATCGATCCGTAATAACCTCCAAACAACAAGGGGGCTGTAATATATTCATTCGGAGAAGACGCTTTCCCATAGGAGTGATTGTTTTATCAAGGATACCAAGCAGAGTATTTTCTTTGTGGATATTTATGATATTTGTAACCAGTTCAAGGTTTCTTGAAGTAATTGTATCTAAATGCATCATCCAAAAATTTAGTACAAACGTTGCACTGTTTAGCCTTACCGATCATCAATGTTCCTATGCGCATACTTATTTATATCAAATGAATCACAATAAGAAATACTTTTGACTACCTTCAGCACCTTGATAAGAGAATTTGATGGTATTCTCAGCAAAAGCAAGGCCTTCATTTTGTAACAAATAGTAAAATGTACCAGAAGTAGCTGCCAAACAGTAATATCTATAGATGCCGTTATTAAAGAAAGAGCCTTGCTCTGAGATCTATACTTTGGAGATACACCAACAAGCAATCCTGGAATGTCCTCTTGTAGCCCATAGTGTTTTATATAGCCAATACCCATCTCATCATTAAAGTGCTTCCTGGGTAAGAAAATAAAAGAAGCATGCGGGAATTGCTGTTCTATCAGTTGGCATAGCTTGCTGCTCTTCTTTATTTCCTCAGAGCGTTTATTGCCAAAAGAGCTTACAAGTATCTTTTGTGGATCATTTAGATTAATCTTTTGTATAGTTCTTGCAAATGTTGTTGAATCAGCAAACTATTTAGTCTATCTAAGAAGACAGTTTGTGATATACAAGGATTATACCTGTGATAAAGTACATTCGCAGCTGTTGACGTCAAATATGCAAATACCTACTTCAATAGCCACACCTCTACCTTCAGTAACAGACATAATACATTTTGGAACTTGTCTTCTTGTAACAGCTGTCATCGCTGTTTTGGGTCGTGCTGATACTCCACCGGTTGTAAGTCTATTGGATGTCTGTTGAGTGGCTCTTTGAGTATAAACACTCCTTGTTGCATTTGAGCCTCCGGATAAAGAAACGCGGGAGGATGATACGGTTATAGCCGAAGACAATTGTTTGCTTTTGTCCATTTTAAACTATTAAAGAAGAATTTTTTTTTTAAAAAAAAGTACGAAATAGCCCTTCTTTTTCTTTTTTTTTTTTTTCAGCGTGATAACAACAAAAAATATATATACAACATTTATTAAAATAAGGAATAATGGCCTTTAGTTGATCGTCTTCTTTTTGCCTCTGTTTAAGCTAGGTCCCCATACTTTAACCGTAAAATCAGCCGAACAACTGGCAAGGATAGGTTCAGTAGGATGAAAATTGACTGCATACACTCGATCTGTGTGGCCTTCTAATCGCTGCATCAACTCTGCGCTATCCTGTAATAATCAATGAGTACTTTTGGTTCGTCAAAGGGGTATTTTGAGCCTTACTTCTCCAACGTTATAAAGATATGCATATGGATCTGCGCTTCCTGTAGCAAGCAGTACACTCTTTTCTTCCTTGAGCTCTTGAGGATCCAATAAATAGTCAGCTGGCGTCGTTGCAATGTCGATATCCCCGTAATCATTCGCCACAGAGTGTTTACTCAAGATGGATGAATTATCTAATAGATTGTCAGCTTAATCTCTATTGTTATAGATTGCATATGGCTTACATCCACTTCCACAATAGAATGACGACTTGATAGGCCAGTTTTTGTTTTTGAATCCTTTTAGTGAATGTACAAGTCGAAGTTCTGATTTGGGTGGATCCATACCACGGTCATAGACGCGTAGCACTAAAAATAATTGTATTAATAATCGTAATGATGAACCAGATGCCCTTACAGTTATCATAGCTATTGACTGCCATATATCGAGGCTCGTCATAATCATTAACTAATTTATAGTGATCAATCGAATGTGAATAAACAAAGGCAAATGCTCTTACTAGCTCTTCTTGAAGCATCTGTACTCCTTCTACCAATGGATATATGTGTGATTGGCATTTGGGTATGATCATTCTGTCTATTTGATATACATTGTTCTAACTGTTGTTAATATATAAAGCCTCTGATCATCTTTTTGCTCCTTACTTGATCGAATATCCCACACTTTTAATACGCCTTGTGCATCTCCTGTGATAACATGAATACCATCTCTTGATGCATACAATGTGTTCACCATGGCATCGTTACGAATAACTAACGCCGATCCTTCCAGTCGAGTATCTACCA